AGGAACAGCAGTGGGATACTGTATTTGGTCACTATCAATGGGAGACACAAGGGTGCTGCGTTGGCACAATCCCAAGAAAACTTTCTAGCATGCTCAGCTTTGGTCCTGGGAGCTTGTAATGACTTCTAAAACTGCCTTTTAGATGTTCCCTGATAAAATCCTCACAAGACTTTTACTGCTCTGATGACTCGTATTGATGGAACTGCTTGCTGTTCTGTGGTGGGGTGGGAGGTGGTTGAGGTGCTAACTGCTGAGTTTCCTTTATTAGTCAAAGTATATGAACTGTGACTGGTGTGTGTGTGTTTGCTCCTCTGTGTGCAACAACTATTCTTTAATGCTGCTTTTTTTCACCTACTATTTCTGCTGAGATGGTGTAATTGAAAAATTTGGTTCTTGATGTGGGAGCAGGCCTGCAGAAGTGTTTCATGTAGTGTCTGACCAATTGTTTCTTATCTTCTCCAGTGAACGCAGGTGTCTGGATGGATTGACCTGGGCAATTGTGGCTTTAAACACCTCTGTCATATGCCATCTGCTACCCTACCTATTGCTTTCTTCAGAAGATAATTTTGATTAAATTATAGCAAGCAAAAGAAACTTTACTTTTGCCCTTCCCCCCCTCTAGACTGTTCCCTGCTGTCTTATTCCCTCAAATGTAAAAATTACATGCACCAGAGGACTTCAGCTGGCTGTGTTGAGTCCTGCACTAGTGTGATTGTTTTCTTATGTTTTGGTGTTGTGGGTTTTTTTTGTTGCTTTTTGATTTTTTTTTTTTTGTGAGGTGGGGGAGTAGAGTTTATAGTACTGTGGAGAAAAAAAACAAATAATAATGTTTATTATATACATGTATATAATGTTTGTTTCAAAGACTGAACATTTTGATCATGTAGATGTTGAGATTTGGAGCTCTGTGGGCAAGGGGTATCTGTGTGTTGTTGAAGGCCTGACCTTGAGGGAGTTAGGGATACGCACAAACACTGTTAGATCCGTTTAAAAATTCATTATGTCAGATAATAATTCCAGCCTAGAATGGGCTACTTTACTAAAACAACCAATCTCTTCTGCAAATCTCCTATTTCCTTAAAATCGTAAAATAGTTTGCATCTTTTTAGGGTGGAATTGGATGGAAAGGTAGAGAGTAAAGTAAAAAGGCTGCCCTTTTGTTTCTCTTCTATATGTCTCCCTACTGGAAAGGGAACACGTATTTGTTGTTTTGAAGTCAGACATTACCATTTGGAAACGTTCCTTGCTTCCTACAGATGTCTCTGGCACGTCTGTATTTTTTCAAGAGGGAGAGTTTTTGAAGTCTTGCAAAATGGCATCGAGCGCTTTCCTTCTGGATGTGTTTTGCAGCAGATCAAGCTGTAACAATGGCCCCAGCTGCCTCCTAGCTGTACATCCAGAAAATTCTACTTCAGTACAGAGAAATTAATGTTTTCTGGGATGTGAAGGTTTCCAAAGAGAGGCACGTTTGCTATCTTTGTTGGTTACTGGCTGATGGAATAATCAACCATGGTGTGGTTGAGTAGGCAAGTGGGCATACCCTGATTTTGCCATGTCCTAATTAATTGATGTTTGTATGTATAATCTGATAGTCTGAACTGCTATTTACGTGAAAGATCTGTGGTAAAAGTCATCCTAGGACATTTGGTTTACTTGATCAGCTCCTGTTGTGTAAATGAAATTGTCAGTTGTACTGATATAGTCAGTCCAGAATATTCTTTGCCACGTCTTTATGGTTTTCCTTCAAATTTCCCCCTCAAGCATCTGTATCATTCTAAAACATACTTTTTACTGCTATAAGCAGGAAGTGAAAAATGTGTTGAAACGGCACGTGCGCAGTTGTTGCTATTTCTCATGCTTTTTGCCCAGTGTTCTGCTTTGATGTAGCTTTAGATTTCTAATGTGCTCAGGATTTCAGTGTAAAAGTTGCATTCCAAAAGCATATCTTTATTTTTCTTTTAAGGTAGTAGAATGAAAAAAGGCCAAGGAACGGGAGAGAGTAATGTGGAGTCATTAAAATCAGAAGTAAATGTGCAGCAGAAAAAAAGATTAGCTTCTGAAGAAACTATGGAGGATTTCAGAGGTGAAGAGCAAGATCAAGGGAAAAGAAGCTGTCTTTCCATCCCTGTCCCTTCATCTCAGGTAATTTTTTGGCTCAGAGCAGAACCATGGTATTTCAAAAAATGAGAATGTAGTTGGCAATGTCATGTTGAAGGTTGGGTCTACGAGGTAACTGTGTTCTGCTTAGGATTTCTTGTTTAAGATTTGTTTTGAAATGCCAGTCTGTTAGGCAGTTCTGTTGTGAGGATCCTAGAAGCCTTTAGAGGCTTGGTTTTCTGCACTTCCTTCCTGGGATGTGAGATTTAGGACTTAAATGTGCCACAGAAGTAACACTTTGAGCTTTTACAGCAAGAGGCTGGAAGACATGAGCCAAAGTACTGGTCCTAGGAGTGGCTCGGTGTGTGGTTTCTTTGTCCGAGAACCCTTCAGGGATAGGTGATGGTGTGACGCTGATGTAATGTGACACTGGGCATAACCCAAACTAGTGCCATTCTAGTTGGTTAAGTTTTATGGTCAGAAAATTATGGCATGTGGCTTAGCAACTGCTACGTTTTGAAGAAAGATAGCAGGTAGTGCACTTATTCCACTCTCTCAAAATCTGAGTCAAAAACAGGAAAGGAAAATAAAGTAATCCGAAATTTCGAACTGGATATGGCAATGAGTGAACAGACACTTCAGTCCAGCTGCTCAGTGTGTCTGTGTGTCTTTAAAGTGCAGCTGCGTTTATAGGCAGTCAAATGCTTACTGGTAGCACCCTGCTAATAAGGAAAAGGGGAGGATTAGTTATCAAAGAAAAAACATCTGCTAGTGAGAGCAAAGCGAGGCTTTCACTGACTTTTCCTTTAAGTGAACAACCTGGGGAGATGTTCCTAATCTGTAGCGTTAGAATTGCCTGAATGTGTTATAGCATCTGATAAAATACTCTAAAATACGACTGTTTATTTAGTATGTTTCTTTGGTTTTGACACTGAAAACAATTGGAGGTTGATTTTGGTTTTTAATTAAAGTTAGTTGAAATGACCTACTCATGGAGAGCATACCTTTCAGGGTAGTTTTGATGTGACGTAGATCAGATCTTTTAATCTGAGAAAGTGTTCTGAGTGGTGAGCTTTGTTGGCTGGGTACATTAATACCGGCTGCAGTGCTGTCTTCTCTTTGTCAGATTTTAAGGTGAGTGACTATATAATGAATTATTTCATTTAGCAGTTTGTAAGTATGAAGCCTTACTTATTTTCTCCTAATAATTTCATAAATCGTTTTTCTCTCGAGAACAGTGTAAGAAATTGCCTTCAGAACTTTGCAGAGAAAATAATGGGTTCATGCAAGCAAAAGTAATAGAGAGCTCTAAATTATTGAAATTCTGATATCAAAACCAAAAGCTGTCATATTTAAGGCTACTGAGAAAATCTGCTGTACAGTGGGAAGTAAAACCAATCTTAATTCTTCTAAGTGCCGGCAGCTGCCAGACAGTGATGAGGTCGTATGGATGTTTATAACCAGAGCCAATAGTGCTGTTGTTTCTGATTTTCCTTGATTGCAACCTGTTTTTTAACTAGTTGTCACAATAAGTGTTCACTCTCATTAGATACAATATAAGCAATGGATTGAAGTATGTGGTAGAGAAGTCACAAGTGGGAGTGACAAGTTAGAGTAATTTAGTCCTCCTGTTGCAAATGAAGGCTTACTTCCTAAGCTGCAGTTGTTTGCTGAGCCTTCTTTTGGGAGTCTTGATAAGAGTCATCTTTGTCTACGAGCTGACTTACTAAATATGCTGCTGTCAGACACATTTGATGTTAATGCTGACTTTGCCCTTAATCACATCGTTGCTCGAATGTAATTGTCTCTGGTTTTGGTTAATGTTTTCTGAGGCTTGCATTGAGAGGAACAAAATCAAGTAAGAAACCACCAGGTGACTTTTTTCAAGCTCTGTCAAACACATCCATGTAAACCAAGTATAAATTTAGTGGAGGGGGAACCTAGGTAATAAACTTGAGAGAGGTGAGACCTTTGGATAGTTCTGTACTGCACCAAAGTAGTTCAGCACTCCATATAGGTGTGCTTCCAGGTAATGTCTCAGTTCTCAGGACAATATTCCTGCCTTGGCTATGTATCTCATTCTTTTTGGAAAGCGCACGTCTCTTATTTCAACTATGCATGTTCTTAAATTTGAAGTGCAGTATTTGTCAAAAGTGGAATCTTTGGCTATTGGTATCTACTGACAAACTTATTTATGATTTAGAGCCATGAGCTGAAGCATTTTAGACACATTGGGGTGGGATTAAACTCAAGGTATATATCATGAATTCCTATATATCTCTCATATAGATAAATATATATAGAGATAAATATATATATAATATCCCCCATATTAGAGAGAGATACATATATACCATATACCTGGATACTTAAGGAATTAAAACTGATTCTTGTATAGGAATGTATATTCTTCTAGAGTCTACTGTATCTTCCCATGTATAACCCCCATGCCCTTTTCAGGAGCAGGACTTTTAGTTAAAAGTTCATTGAAGCTGAAGTCCGTGGACTATTCAGAGACTGAGGTGGCGAGAGAGGAGCCGGACTGTGTTGTGAGGGAAGGGAAGCTGAGAAGAAGAGCTCTAGGATAAGTTTTTCTTTAAAGTGTGTGAGTGTGTGTGTTACAACTTGAGCCTTTCATTCAGCAGCTGTATTTAGCAGCTAAATTGAGATTAGAAAGTGGAGTAGATGATGTTAAAGGCTGGAGCAGGTAGATGATCTCTTAAGGTCCTTTCCCACCGGGGCTGTTCTGTGATTGTGTGATTTTTTTTTTTTTTTTTTTTTAAAACTAGAATGATGAGATGAGGCAGAGTTTGACCTTAAAGCTTCTAATTCTGCAGAGTGTATTGCCAATGTTTTTGTGCCCAGGAAGGGATTCCTGAGCCTGATGCAAATCTGGATGATGAGACTGAGATTTCTGATTCAACCAGAAGTGCAGATGCTGCAGAAAGCTCCAACCAGATCAAGCCTAAGAGGACACCTTGCATGTATGGAACAGGCTGTTACAGGTAGAGCATAAGTAAAACTAGCTTAAGATAACTTCTTATTGAGAAGAAATGTATTAGCTATGGAAGAGAAAACAGGGAAGTCCTTACAAGCTCTGATTTGAAAAAAGTCTTCTGGTAAACAAGGGACTGATGAGAAACAAATAGTGTAACAAGCATTTTAAAAGCATAAGAGGAGGAGCCAGGGTGTCTTGCTAGCTGCCGAGATAACACAAACGAAGGGTGAAGTAGTTCAGCATATTAAAAGGTGAAACGTTCTAGGAAATAAGAAACAAAGGTCCATTATTTGTCCCTCTCCCTGCCCCAGGGACTTGAGCAGCAGGAAAACCATTCAGGTTGTTTAGAAAACAAGCAAGCACAAGTGAATGGGTTCTTGTACATGTTTGGTGTGCGTAATGCCGCAGAGAAGCGTGTCAATCCAAAGCCTAAAGCTGTTGTGTTGCTGAACACATCAGACTTGCAGTTCTCCTGCAGCTTTCTTTCCCATCTCTCAATTTTGGCCCTTAATGAATAGGATGCAAAGGTGTTTTGTGAGGCAGTTGAGCTGATCCAGTAGTAGAAATGCAGCCTCTAGTTTGCTCCAGTTACTCTGAATTTTGCTCTGACAAGTTTTCCCCTGGATGGGGGTTAAGCTGATGTAATGCTCTGAGATGTTGAAGGATTCGTGATGTTTAGGAAGGCAAGTTTTAGTTAGAGGTCCTGTGGAACAGGAGTCTGCACGTGCACCTTTCCTCTTGGATCTTTGTTGTAAAACGTTTGGCATGAGTACTTTGGGAAAGTAGTGCTTTGTAAGACAAAAGAATGCTCTGAGATAACAGGTAAGAAAAACCTTGCTTTGTTAGAAATTTGTAAGGATGAAGTATCAAACATTTAGGAAATAATTTTGTAACAAAAAATTATTCAGTTTCTTCTTTTATGAATTTGAAAACCCTGCTTTTGAATGAATCAAGCTTGATGCTCGCCTCTTGCTCCAGGGATTCTTCTTATCCTTCAGTGGCAGATTCTCTTTCTGAGGTAGCCTGAAGCTTTATCAAATAGAAAGGAGCTACTGTTCCCACCCAGAGGCAAAGTGCTCTGTGCATGTTCTGACTGTGTGAGTTGTCAAGGAATGTGCTCTTGGAATACTGTCTGATGTTCATTTTCTTGTCTGCTGCTTGTTTTTCCAAAGTTAGAAGAATAGGGAATTAAAAATAAGTCCAGAGCCAGCCCCCCTTTTCAAGGCCTGCATAGAAGGGCTGCAGTAGACCTGAACTCCCCATTTTTTGTTCACAATTATGTCTTTTTGCTAGCCTGCAACACAGTGCTCTGCTGTCTGGGTGTGTGTAAATCTTTTTCATAGCTGTCAAAGCAGGGCGCACTCAACCAGCCTTTGGATGTGTATGTGCATTCTTCTGAACACTTTGCTTTTCTTTGGTTTATTTCTTTTTCACCTGAAGATTGTCAGTGTGGGAGCTGATCGGTCTCGAGTCCTGTCTTCTAGCAAGACCTGTGCTTTAGAGCTTAACAATCATCTTAGGCACAGTTATGGCATAACTTCCGGTTTGAATGTCACGACTTTTTAACTAGTGCTGGTAACTCATTACATTTGCACTACCAGTTTCTTTAGTAGCTGCAAAAACAAGCCCTGGAGATGGCAGGGTCTTCTGCACGTGATCGTGAAGAGCCAGGGATTCTGACATAATCAGTTCAACTTGCTCTAGAAAAAGCTCTTAGGTGTCTTTTGGTGGCTGCATAGATGAAAAACTGTCTTAAAGATTTCACTGAGCAATATTCCACTTCTGCTTGAGACGCCTGCATTGATTCTGAAGAACTTTCAGGTTTATTTGCATAATTTTCTGTGTCATAAAGCGTGAGTACACAAATTCAGAGGTTCTGTGAAGGCAAAGCTGCAGTAACTCTGCAAGTCTGTTTATGAGAAGGCAACTCTCTCATAAAACTTTGTCCTTAAAATAGGCTTTAAATTGATTAATTTTTGTGTGAGTAAAGCTTTGTGGTTTTGTTTTGATCAAATGGATAACATGTTCCTGCGCAGTGAGGTTTTGGTGTGAAACTGTTTAACTTCGGAGTGTGACTTATGGTGTGATAGATGTTGTGCTCTTTCAACGCAAATCTTTTGGGTCTAAACAAAATGTAAAAAACCTCAAAACAAAACAAACCCTTAATAAAAGGAATAAGCTTTAGATTTTTGGAAAAAGAGCAAATTCTTGCTTAATAGAAGCTATGCACTTCTCTGCTTGTATTTAATTTATTGGATATCATTCCACAACACTCAGAAGTGGAATAAGTGCAACTTATCCAGGTAAGGGTAAGATAAAATGCAATGTTTCTACTAGTCCTGAGTGTCTGAAGTAGGACAGGTTTAAGAGGCTTCCCAGGTAATGGCTAATTTGAGGAGCGTCATCCACTGGCCCAAAGAATACTGAAGCCTTGTGATAGGGAGCGTACATCAAGACCCTTTTGATTCTCTTCCTCCTTCCTCCCTTACTACTTTCTTTTTCTTCTTTTCTTTTCCTCCAAGAAGGGCTGTTTGGTGTAGTCTCCATAGGTTTCAAAGTAATATTTTGGAAGGAAGTAGCTGTCTCCTGAAATACACCAGATTGGCTACATGACAGCTATTAGGCCTTCTTTCCTGGGTGACGATGATGTGATACGTATCTTACTGTAGCAATAAATCTAAACATGGCTCCACAGACCATTAGTTGCTTCCGCATCCCTTTGTGAAGATGAATTGTGTCTCAAGTCACCCGAAATTCTTGCTAATGTTGCTCCTAAGCTGGCTCTGTGCATTTAGAAAGCAAAGCAAGTACCCTCTAAAATGGCTGGGTTTCCCGGCATTGAGTTTTAAAGGGGAAAAGGAGTCGGCAGCCAGCCCGGGTTTGGTGTGAGTGACACTTCCTGAGAAGTTGTGGTGGAGTAAGTGACTGGTCAATGCAATCTTGCAATGATTTCTAGTGAAACTGTATTTGCTCACCCTGGAGTTTGCTGAAACGAGCAGAAAAGAGCAGGACAAGAAGCCTGTCACCTGTGTAAAGAGATCCAAGGGATCCTGGGTCTTTGACAAGTGGGAGCTCCTTGGAGAGTTTACCTGCAGCTTGCTTGTTGAGCTTGCTTGTTTAAAGTTGTCATTCACAGAATCACAGAATGTTAGGGATTGGAAGGGACCTCAAAGGATCATCTAGTCCAATCCCCCTGCCGGAGCAGGACCACCTAGATCAGATCG